CCCCTCCTCCCCCCTCCTCCACCCAGAGCCCTTTCGCCCTCCCTCCACCCCTTCCGTCCGCTGAGGGGAAAAAACCACACCAATTCCCCACCCAATTTCCTGACCACCAATGTTCCTCCCTTTAAAAACCCCCCCTTCCTTTTTTCCCTTCCTGTCCTGCCCCCCACAGGGGTCATGTGGCGTTTGAGATCTGTGCGCCACGTCTACCGCATACCCTGGACCAGCCCATTGTTAACAAGCATTTGTATCCAGGACATGCAACAGAGGAATGACGTCGTTCATCCCATAGTCCGCAACTCACAATAGCGTGGGCCTCCTCAAAGGGCCGAGCAAGCGGCAGGTGTCACGCCTGAAGCTCCAATGGCTGACATCTAAGTTACACAGGGGAGTACCTTTAATCCGCTTGTAACATCAGAAATCGGTTGAAAAGGCCCTTTTTTCGCTGTTCGTAAAGGGGGTTTAAAACATATGTAGGGTTAAATTTCCCCAACCATTTTTGAAAACGTCCCAGCAGGGGTTTTTCGGAACGGGGTCCCAGGGGAAAGGTTTACGGGCCTTTGGGGCGCAAAAAAGGGGAAAGGGCCCCGAACCTGCCAGAAAACCCTATGACAAAATGGAACCCCCAAAAGTGTGAGGAGCCCCTGAAATTTGGCAAAATGGCAAAAGTGGGTCGTTTAGAGACAGAAACCAATGGGAGGCCGTACGGGGACCCATGGAAACCCTTTGGGGGGACCTGGAAAGCAGCAGAGGGGGCCCGGAAACGGGGGCCCATGGAAAAGATTCGGGCCTGGCAGCAAAAGGGGAGGCCCGTAACCCTGCCACACCCTATGAAAAAATGGAAACCCACGGGCAGGTGAGAAGACCTAAAAAGTGGCACATAGCAGAGGTGGCATGGAGAAAAGAAAACAAGGGGACCCCGTACGGGGAAACCCCATGACAGATTAGGGGCCCGGCACAGCATGAGGAGGGGGGTACGGGGCCCATGACAAAAAAAAAGGGCCCTGGCACAGCAATGGGAGGCCCGTAACCCTTTTGCCACACCCTATAAACAAAATGGAACCCACCAGCATTGTAGGAACCTGAAAGGGGCCCATGGCAAAATTTGGGCGATGGAGCCCAGCACAGTGGGAGGCCGTACAGGGCCCCCATAAAGACACCTGGCCTGGGCAGCAGCATGAGGATTTGGGAAAACGGGGGCCCCAGGGCCCAAAATTACGGGCCCGGGCACCAGCAATGGGAGGCCCCGTAATCCCCCAGAAAACCCTTTTGACAAAATGGAAACCACCAGAAAGGTGAGGAACCTGAAAGTGGCAAAAAAGGGCAGAGGGGGTTCGAGGGGAAAAAAGCAGCAATGGGGGGCCCTTAAAAGGGCCCCCCTACAGTTTTAGGGGCCGGGCGGGCGCATGGGGAGGGGGTAAAAGGGGGCCCTTAGACAGATTTACGAGGCCTGGCCAGCAGCAATGGAGGCCCGTAATCTGCCAGCACCCTATGACCAAAATTTGGAACCCACCAGCATGTGAGGAGACCTGAAAGTGCACATGGCAGAGTGTGGCGATGGAGACAGCAGCAGTGGGCGGCCGTACAGGGACCCATCGAGACACCTCTGGACCATGGCAGCAGCATGAGGAGTTTGGTACGTGGTGCCCATGGCAGATTACGCGGGCCTAGGCAGCAAGCAATGGAGAGGCCCGTAATCTGCCAGCACCCCTATGACAAAAATCAGGAACCCACCAGCAGTGTGTGTAGACCTGAAAGTGGCACACTGGCAGAGTGTGGGCTGATGGAGACAACAGCAGGCAATGGGAAGGCCGTACAGGGACCCATGAGAGAACTCTGACCACTGGCAGCATCATGAGGAGGCGGTACAGGGGCCCAATGACAGATTACGGGCCTGGCAGCAGCAAATGGGGAGGCCCGTAATCTGCCAAGCACCCTATGACCAAAATGGAACCCGACCAGCAGTGTGAGGATACCTGAAACGTGCACATGGCAGAGTGTGGCGAATGGAGACAGCAGCAATGGGAGGCCGTACAGGTACCCATGAGAGACTCAGGACCTGGCAGCAGCATGAAGGAGGCGGTACATGGGGCCCGATGACAGATTACGGGCCTGTGCAAGCAGCAAATGGGAGGCCCGTCATCTGCCAGCACGCCTATGACAAAAATGGAACCCACCAGCAGTGTGAGGAGACCTGAAAGTGGCATCATGGCAGAGTGTGGCGATGGAGACCAGCAGCAATGGGAGGGCCGTACAGGACCCATGAGAGAACTCTGGACCTGGCAGCAGCATGAGGGCGGCTGGTATCAAGGGGCCCATGACATATTAACTTGGCCAGGGCAGCAGCAATGTGAGGACCCCGTAATCTGGCCAGCACCCTATGACAAAATGGAAGCCAACCAGCAGTGTGAGGAGACCTGAAAGTGGCCACATGCAGTAGTGTTGGCGATGGAGACAGCAGCTATGGAGTCCGTACAGGGACCCATGATGAGACTCTGGACCTGGCCAGCCAGCATGTGAGGAGCGCGGTACAGGGGCCCATGAACAGATTTACAAGGCCTGAGCAGCAGCAAATGGGAGGCCCGTAATCTGCCAGTTACCGCTATGACCAAAAATGGAACACACCAGCAGTGTGAGGAGACCTGAAAGAGTGGCACAATGGCAGAGTGTGGCGATGGATACAGCAGCAAATGGGAGGCCGTACAGGGACCCCATGACAGATTTACGTGCCTGGCAGCAGCATGAGGAATGGCGGTACAGGGGGCCCATGACAGATTACGGGCCCTGGCAGCAGCAATGGCGAGCCCGTAATCAGTCAGCACCCTATGACAAAATGCAACCACCAGCAGTGTGAGGAGACCTGAAAGTGGCACATGGCACAGTGTTGGCGATGGAGACAGCAGCAATGGGAGGCCGTCCAAGGGTCCCATGAGAGACTCAAGACCTGGCAGCAAGCATGAGGAGGCGGTTAACAGGGGCCCATGAACAGATTACGGGCCTGGCAGCAGCATGAGGAGTTCGGGTACGGGGGCCCATGGCAGATATTTACGGGCCTAGTTAGCAGCAATGGGAGCCCCCGTAATCCTGCCAGCACACCCCTATGACACAAAATTGGAACCCACCAGCAGTGTGAGGCAGACTTGAAAGTGGCATAACATGGCAGAGTTAACATCGTTTGGGGAAAAGGGGGGGGCAACAAACAATTGATTCATGCGGATTTTAAGTCAGTTTGTGTCAGGAAAACTGGAGGTTTGTACATCCAGACTAATCCATCTCCTGATTCATTTTCATTCCACAAAACGTGAGTCTCTCCACACACTTGGGTGGACAGATCGTAGTCCTCCGCGGAGTTACAATACCTTCCTGCCGCACTAAACACACGGGCGCTCCGATGCCACGCTACTGGCCGGGCATGAACAGCCTTTCAAGGGCAAATATCAGATAGTTGGGGTCCAAAGGTCAAGTTTTCGTTGCCCAGTAGTCAAGGGGATTGTCTACCGTCGGTTTGCAGGGTGCTGTCCATAGGGCCGAACCCAAGCCTGGTTGTTCTGAGGTCCTGCTCACAGGTCCACATGATGCTGCCTGCTGCTGCGGCTGGTTAGTAGTTTTCCCCTCACTGCGCTGGTGAAGACATGCTACTCATCCATCGACCTGTGCAGACTGATGGCAGGCCGCTGCTGGTGGAGCAGCCACTGCTCTCCTACCAGCCCCCAACCACCCCACCCCTCCCCTGCTGCCATGAGGCAGCGGCTACGCAGAGCAGCACAGGGCCCCACAGTGACTGGAGGCTGGACGTTGGCGCAGCAAAGGCAGAGACCAACTGTTACTAACATAGGTGGTTTTTATAGTAACGTATATTTTGGCCCCTCCTCTCAGCAGGTGTATGAAAAAGGCCACCGATTTTATAGAACGTATCGAGGGTCGCACAAGGTGGAGCAGCCAAAAGTCATTCCACTGTCTGATGGATATTATTCCGGGCCTGTCGCTGCGCAAGCAACCGAGCCATGCTATATGGTGCCATTCTGCGCCAAGGAATGCGATGGGGGGAGGGGGGGGGGACTCCCTGGCCTCTTCCATCTCCACAAGCCATACTGCCACGGTGCGTCTGGGTCCTCTGTCTCCTCTCCTCCTCTCTACCAGTATGCTCCTGCTCCTCCACTCCTGTCCGCTGAGTGGAAAAACCACCCATTTCACTCAAATAATTCCTGAGGCACCAATGTCCTCCTCTACCTCCTCCTCTTCTTCCTGTCCTGCCCCCACAGGGGTCATGTGGCCGTTGAGATCTGTGCGCCACGTCTACCGCACCCTGACCAGCACCATGTTTAACGAGCATTTTGTTTCCAGGACGTGCAACAAGAGCAACATAGCGAATGACGTCGTTCAGCCCCATAGTCCTTCCGACTCACGAATAGCGTGGCCAATCCTCAAAGGGCCTGAGCAAGCGGCACAGTGTCACGCAATGAGCTGCCAATGGCTGACATCTAAGTTACACAGGTGAGTACCTTCTTATCCGCTTGTAACATACAGGAAATCGGTTGATGGCCTTTCGCTGTTCGTAACAGGCTGTCTAACATATGTAGGGTTGAATTCCCCACCTTGTTGCAACGTCGCAGATCATGTGGCGATGCTGTGGAATTCCGTTCTGCCGCTGCAGCTGCTCAAGGAGGGTGTGCTTTGCGGTTGTAGGAATGGCTGAAATGCATGCAAAGTTTACCAGACATTTTAAGGAATGTCTTGCAGTGGGATGGTGGATTTTAGGAACCGCTTGACAACCAGATTGAACACGTGAGACCATGCATGGTGGCATAGGCTCAACCTTCCCCTTGACGCAGAGCAGACACCATGTTCTATTCCGTTGTCTCGGTCAACATGGTTCCCGATTTTCAGTTTGCCGCGGAGACAGCCATCTGTCGATTTCTCTGTTCATTACACTCAGAAGTTCCTCCCCTGTGTGACTACAATTTCGCCAAAGGCATACCAGGTGCAGCACAGCGTGACACCGTTGTCGCCCTAGCACATGTGATATGCCGGTCGGGGTAATGGGACTTGGCACGGGGGTGGCGGCTGAGGACACGGGGGCGGGAGAAAGAAGAGGCGGTAGAGGCGGACATATCTTTCTGGACCAAGGACGTGCGAACGTGGAGGCAAAAGCGCGGCGTGTACCTAATGGTCCAAGTTGCTGGTGCGGCTGTGCCGGCACCACGTTCACCCAGTGGTGGGGGGGCCGAAAATGACATGTACTAGGTCCCTGACCGTAGTTTACAGCTTCACACGTCGGCGCTGCCGTGCACTTTGGCAGAGACCGACATGCTCAAAGACTGGCCCACCATCTCTTCTACATGTGAATGCAGGGCTGGCACTGCCTTTTTTGGCGAAGAAAAATCCGGCTTGGCACTCTCCACCGCGGCGCGGCACAAGCCATCAATTCTCGGAAAGGTGCTGAGTCCACCACTTGGAAAGGGATGGGACTGCAGCACCAGCAACTTGGACAGGAGGACGTTCAGCTTTTGCACCGTCGGGTGCGTGCTCGCAAACTGTTGTCTCTTGGAAACGGATTCCAAGAAAGACTGCTGACGGAATCCGTGAAGAGGAGTAGCAGGAGAAGGAGCATCTGAACGAGCGGAAGATGCCAACGAGCGACAACTCCCCTCAGCAGAGGGTGTTGGAGCCTTGACTGGCTGATAGAGGGCGATTGACGTCGGGAGACAGAGCACGTAACGGAGCGGGTGATGGAGCGGGGGCGGGGCAGGCATGAACCGCCATAATCTTTATCACGGTTTTCCCAGGCCACCGAATGGCGACGCTGCATATGCTGACGCAACGCTGTAGTCCCAACATGGGCCCCCTGGCCACGCTTGACTTTCTGCCCACATAGTCGACATACGGGCTACGTTTACCTTCCTCGGGCGGCTTGACAAAAAATTGCCACACCGCCGAGTAGGAACTTTGCCCCCGCTACTCCTCACTGGCTGACTGCTACTTCCTCCGTGCACACCGGCAACCCACTACTGGCCGTGGTTGGTAGGCTGCAGTGGAGCTGGTGCTCTACTCCATGGCCGTTTGGCTCCACTGACACTGCTGCGACCCTGCTGCTGCCTCCTGGGCAACCCACCGACTGTTTTGCTCGCTGCCAAGCTGGCACCCTCTTCTCCTGATGATGCGGAAGAAATAGCCTGATGACGACGAGGCTGGCCAAGTGCGATCAGCCTCATCATCATCAATTAGGGTCTCCGCCTCACTACTAGCCCCCTCGGCTGCGTGTGGGTCAGGAGACAGACCTGTCTCTAGACCGGCTACCGAGCCACTCTCCTCGCCACTACTTCTTCGCCTGGCTGCTGAAGAGGCGGATGTCTCCCCCCCGTTCCTGACCGCCCTCTGTTAGCTCTTCCTCACTGTACAGTGGGGCTGAGCCCACAGCATGCGATACTTCGCTTGGTGAGGGAACACCAAAGGACAGGGGCAGGTAGAGGACACGTGATTTTCAGTGGGCTTGCTCCCGGGCCATGCCAACTAACGGTTTGTGTCTGACGTACCCACCGACCGTTGGCTGTAGGTGTCAGAGGTGACCTGGGAAGAGGAAGACGACCGAGCCAACCAATCGATGACGGCAGGGTTGTCGGTGGAGACACGACCGCTGGATGACACCGGGAGCACTGGCCTCTGGCTGCGACTAGTGCTGCCTCGATCCCTTCCTCTGCTGCCACGTCTGCTCACTCCTAAAACATGGCCTCCTCTGACACTCCTCTGCGTGTTGTCTGACATACTCTTTAATTCAACGATTCTGTGTCCCTGAGTAACGATTCTGTGTCCCCTGAGTAACAGTTCTGTGTCCCTGAGTAACAATTCTGTGTCCCCCTGAGTAACAGTTCTGTGTCCCTGAGTAACAGTTTCTGTGTCCCTGAGTAACAATTCTGTGTCCCTCAGTAACAATTCTGTGTCCCCTGAGTAACAATTCTGTGTCTGTCCCTGAGTAACAATTCTGTGTCCCTCAGTAACAATTCTGTGTCCCTCAGTAACAATTCTGTGTCTGTCCCTGAGTAACAATTCTGTGTCCCTCAGTAACAATTCTGTGTC